CTGACACAACTCTGGTGGCCCAAACCCCAACCCTAGTGACCCTAAGCCAATCCTAGTGGCCCTAACCCCAATCCTAATGGCCAAAATCCCAACCCTAATGGCCCAAATCCCAACCCTAGCAGCCCAAATCCCAATCCTAATGACTCTGACACAACCCTGGTGGCCCAAACCCCAACCCTGCTGGCCTTTACCCAACCCTAGTGGTCCAAACCCTGACCCTAGTGACATGAAGCCAAACCTAGTGGCCCAAATCCCAGTCCTAATGACCCCAACACAACCTTGCTGGTCCTAACCCCAACCCTAATGACCATAATCCTAAAATTGATGACACAAACTCTAACCCTAATGACACTAACCCAACCCTAATGTCCCAACCCCAACTCTAGTGACCCTAATCCAACCCTAATGGCCCAAACCTCAACCCTAATGACCCAAAACCCAAAGATAATGTCCCTAATCCAACACTAGTAACCAAACTCCAACCCTAGTGGCCCTAATCCCAAACCTAGTGGCCCAAATCCCAACCCTATTGGCCCAAACTCCAACCCTATTGGCCCTAAATCAACTCTAGTGGCCCAAACTCCAAACCTAATGCCCCAAACCCACTGACCCCAACCCAATTCTGATGACCACAACCCCAATGAACCCAAACCCTGATGACCCCAGGAGCACCAACCCATGACCCCAACACAGCCATCATGATCCTAACCCAGTGACCCCAACCTGATGACCCCAACACTGATAATCCCAACTAACCCCACCTCCATGACCCCAAACCCGATGACCCCAGTAAACCCGCCCCAATGACCCCAGCCCCACTGATATCATTTCAATGACTCCAAGCCAACCATCATGACCACAGCCCAATGTCCCCAACCTGATGACCCAAATCTACCTATGATGACCCCAACCCCACTAATCCCACCCCAATGACTCAATACCAGTAACCCCAACCCAGTAACCCACTGACCCCCACCTCAATGACCCTGACACCAATGACTCCATGCCAACTTTGATGACCTTAACCCCAATAACCCCAACCATGTTGACCCCAACCATGTTGACCTCAACCCAACGACCCCAACTCTGATGCCCCAAATTCACGATGACCCCAGCCCAATGACCCCACCCCCAATAACCCCACTCCAGTAACAACAACCCAATGACCCCAACCCAATGACCCCAACCCAATTACCCCAATCCAACCACGATGACCCCACCCCCATTAACCACAACCCAATGATGCAATGCCAATAATCCCGACCCACTGACTCCACTGTCCCCACTCTGATGACCCCAATGACCCTACCCCAGTCTCCCTGACGCCACTGACCCCACAGGCATGGGCAGCAGAGACAGGGAAGTTCCTTGCGGGGCGGGATGAGCCGGATCCTGCCAAGTGGAAGGCGACGCTGCGTTGTGCCCTCAACAAGAGCCGCGAGTTCCGCCTGCGCTACGACGGCACCCGCGCTGTGCCCCCCCGGCCCTATAAGGTGTACGAGGTCTGTGGGGCCGACGGAGCAGGTATGGGGCTGGGGAGGGCTCAGGTGGAGACATGGGGGTCTGTGCAGTCCCATAAGTGACATGGGGTATGTGAAGCTGAGCACCCTGCAGTGTCCCATCACCCTGTGAGGACCTGGCATCCCACAAGTCGCTATGGGTGTTGTAGGGTCTCAGTACCCTATGGGACCCATTTCTTCCCTCCCAGACACGGTGACCGGGGATGACTTCAGCTGTGGTGGGGAGGAAGAGGAGGAGGAAGAAGATGTCAGTGAGGTACTGGCCCTTGCCACACAGATGGGGGTCCCCCACTCCACACTTGGGGGTCCCCTGCCCCACATTCGGGGGTGTCTCATTCCATAACTGCCTGCTCTCTCTCTGCAGCTGCAGAAGCTGATGTCTCTGAGCATCGATGGTCAGCAGGGATATGGGGTGTCCTATAGGGGAATAATGGAGTGGGGGGCAGCCTATGGGGGAACAGTGGGGTGGGAACACCCTATGGAGGTCAGTGGGGTGGGGATGCTTCATGGGGGGCAATGTGGTGGGAATATCCCATTGGAGACAATGGGATTGGGTTACCCCAGGGGGGAAAGTCAGGGGGGAGGTATCCCGTGGGGGACAGTTAGTGGGGTGGGGGCTCCCCATAGATGATCAATGGAGTGGGGGAAGGGTGATGTGGAGCATCTCGTGGGAGGAAAACCCCATAGGGAGTCGACGGTGTGTGGATTCGGGAGTGGAGTGGGGCACCCCGTAGTGGCAGTCAGTGGGGTGGGGGCTCCCCACAGAGGATCAGTGGAGAGAGGGGAGGGGTTGATGCGGGGCAGGCACCCTGTGAGGTGTTTGTCTATGGGGCAGCAGTGTCCTATGGGGAGCAGTGACATGGGGGCTCCTCTGGCCGCCCCTTCACCCCACTGTTCCCCAGACTGTGGAATGGACCCAGTGCCCCCCTGGCACGAGGAGCACCCCCCGTTCAGCAACGCCGACCCCACAGTGCCCTTCATGCCCCCTGAGCTGCCCCCTGAGCTGACCTCACAGCTGCCCCCTGAGCTGAACCCACAGCTGACCCAACAGCTGCCCCCACAGCTGCCCCCCCCGGGACCCCCAGCACTCCTGGAACATGGTGTCCCCAATCTGCTGGCCAGCCCTCACCTGCTACCCCGTAAGCACCAGGTTGGGGTACGGGGTGTGGGGTGGCTGTGGGGTGGGTGAATGTGGGTATGGGGTGGCTATGGATATGGGGTGGCTGGACATATAGGTATGGGGTGGCCATGGGACAGGTGGACGTGAATATGGGGTGGGTGGATGTGGCTGTGGGCTGGCCGTGGGGTGGTTGGATTTGGCTATGGGTTCGATGTAGCTATGGGGTGGTTGAATTTGGGAATGGGGTGGCTGTGGGATGGGTGGGGGTGAGGATGGGGTGGCCATGGGGTGGATGAGCAGAGGTGGCTGAATGTGATGGGATGGGTGGGTATGGGGTTGGGGGAATATGGGGTCACTGGCCATGGGGCTGAGGAGATGACAGTAGGGTGGGTGGGCATGGGGTTGGGTGGCTGTGGGGTCAGGGAGGATATACAGTCATTGACCATGGGGGTGGGAGGCTGTGGGGTGGTTTACTGTGGGGTTGGTGTCATATGGGATGATTGCTGTGGGGCTGGATGGCCGTGGGGTGAGTGGGCATGGGGTCAGGTGGCTGCTATGGAGTCAGGGGGGGATATAGGGTCACTGGGCATGGGGGGGTGACAATGGGAGTGGGTGGGCTGGGGGGGGGGGGGGTGGGGGGGGGGGGGGCAGGGGGCTGGTGGGTTGTGGGGTGGGGGGGCAGGGGGTTGAGGGGTTGTAGGGTGGTCGGCTGCGGGTTTGGGTGGCTGTGGAATGGGGGAACATGGGGTTGGGGGATGACAATGGAATATGGGGTGGATGGCCATGGGGTAGGACTACGACACAGTTAGCCATGGAGCTGCAGGCTTCCCCTGCCTAAAAGACCCCCCATCCCGACCCCATAACCCTGCAGTGACGGACCTGGAGCTGCGCTTCCAGTACCGCGGGCGGCGGGTGAGCGCCCTGACCGTCAGCCACCCCCTGGGCTGCCGCCTGTCCCACGGGGGGTCCCTGCCCCCCACCCCGCAACGCCCCGACCTTCTGGGACACCCCGAGCTCCAGCAGGTCCCCTTCCCGGACCCCGAGGGGATCCCGCACGACAAGCAGCGTCGCTACACCCGCACTCTGTTGGGGGCCATGGAGCGGGGGCTCCTCCTGGAGCTGGGGGGACAGGACCTCTATGCCACCCGCCTCTGTCGCTGCAAAGTGTTTTGGGATGGGCCCTGCGCCCCACCTCAGGACCCCCACCTCGACCCCCGGCCCAACCCCATGGAGAGGGAGAGGAGGGTCCAAGTGTTCAGCCTCCAGCGGTTCCTTGACGGTAAGTGGCACCGGGGGTGGAGGTGAGGGGGTGTGTGGAGATGTTGGGTGGCACTGGGGACATCGAGGAGTCCGTGGGGACATCAGGTGGCACTGGAGGACACAAAGGAGTCCGTGGGATCATCGGGTGGCACCTGGAGACACCGTGAATAGATATCAGGTGGCCTTGGGGGACATCAGGTAGAACTGGGGACACCAAGGATTCCACGGGGATGTCAGGTGGCATTGGGAGACACCATGAAGGGACATCAGGTGGCACTGGAGGACACAAAGGAGTCCACGGGATCACCAAGTGGCATTGGGAGATGCCATGAAGGGACATCAGGTGGCACTGGAGGACATCATGAATCAGTGGGGAGGTCAGGTGGCACTGGAGGACATCAAGTGGCCTTGGGGACACCTGGGAGTCCAAGGGGATGTCGTCAAGTGGCACTGGGGAACATCAGGTGGCCTTGGGGGACATCAGGTGGCAGTGGGGACACTGAGGACTCCATGGGGACATCAGATGGCACTGGGGACACCAGGAAGTTGGTAGGAATATCAGGTGGCACTGGGAGACGCTATGAAGCCCATAGGGACACCAGGTGGCACTGGTGACACCAGGGAGTCCATAGGGACATCAGGAGGCACTGGGGGACATCAGGTGGCACTGGGGACAGTGTTGAGTCCATGAGGGCATCAGGTGGCATCAGAAACATCAAGAAGTCAATGGGGACATCAGGTGGCCTTGGGGGACATCACGAAAGGATATCAGGTGGCACTGGGGACATCAAGGAGTCCATAGGGATATCAGGTGGCATGGAGACGTTGGGGAGTCCATGGGGACATCATCAGGTGGTAGTGAGGACACCAGGGTGTCCATGGGGACATCAAATGGCATTGGGGGACACCGTAAAGGGACATCAGGTGGTAGTGGGAGGATATCAGGGAGTCAGTAGGGACAACAGGTGGCATTAGGGGACATCAGGAAGTCTATGGAGATGTCAGGTGGCTTTGGGGGACAACAGAGAGTCCATGGGGACATCTGTTGGCAAGGAATGACATCAAATGGCATTGGGGGACACTGGACAGCCAGTAAGGACATCAGGTGGAATTGGGGGGGGGGGGACGACACTGGAGAGCCCGTTGGAACCTCAGGTAGCAATGGGGACATCAGTCAGCACAGAGGGACGCCCATCAGCCCACAGGGTCATGGGGTGGCATGGGAGGATTGCGGCTGGTGGAGACACTGGTCAGCACTGGGTTGGGGGGAGGTGACATTAAGTGACACCTCAGTGCCCCCTAGGGCTGATCCTGTTCCAGAAGGGGCAGAGCCCAACACCACCGCCCTTCGAGGTTTTCCTGTGCTTTGGGGAGGAGTGGCCCGACCACAGACCCAAGGAGAAGAAGCTCATCACTGTGCAGGTTGGGGGACACAACGGGGATACAGTGGGGACTGGTTGGGACGCATGTTGGGGACACAATGGAGACGTGAAGGGGACATGATGAGGATGTGTTGGGGACATGGAGGTGACACGTCAGGGATGAGTTGGGGACCCAATGGGGACGTGTTGGGAACTCACAGCGAGGACACGTCGGGGACACGGTGGTGACACATGGGATTACTTGGGTCGGGGACACAATAAGGATGAGTTGGGGACATGGTGGCGACGTGTCAAGGATGGGCTGGGGATGTGTTGGGGACACACTGGGGACACGGTGGTGACATGGCAGAGATGAGTTGGGGACCTAATGAGGACATGATGGGAACCCTTTGGGGACCACCCTAGGAGTCACGTTGGGGGGCAGGATGGGGTCATGGCAGTGATGCACTGTTTGGGGACAGTTTGGGGACATCGGGGCAAGCAGTGGGGACACAGCAAAGATGCAATGGGAGATGTGATGGGGGACGTGTCGGGGCTGCACTGGGGGCACGTGTGATTCGTCTCCCCTTCCCCCAGGTGGTGCCAGTGGCAGCACGGCTGCTGCTGGAGCTGTTCTCAGGGGAGCTGTCGTGGTCGGCTGACAGCGTCCCGCTGCAGATCTCGCAGCCCGACCTGAAGGATGCCCTGGTGGAGCAGTTCAAGGAGCTGCACCGCCTGTGGCAGCAGCAGCAGCGCCCGGATCCCGGCCCGCGGCCCCCGCTGTGACATGGGGATGGGGAGAAAATGGGGTGCGTGGTCCTTCCCGGGGGGGAGGGAGGGGGGAGGAGGCTTTGGGGGCATCCTTGGTGGTATGGAGATGGTGAACACTGCCGTAATCAAGAGTGCTAAGGCTCCTGGAGCACATCTAGAACGCATCTGGAGCACCTCCAGACCTGGGACATGGCCAGGACTATGGCTGCTCCTGGAGCACATCTGTAAAACCACATCTGGAGCTCTGCCTGACCTACGATGCTGCTGTGCCCAGAGCGCTGCCTCTTCTGGAGCACATCTGGAACACACCTGGAGCACCACCACACCTACAACACAGCCATACCTGACTGCTGCTGCTCCAGGGGCGCCTCTGGAACACACATCTGGAGCACCACCTGACCCACAACATCTCCATAACCTGCATCTTCGCTGCTCCTGGAGCACCATGTATTTAAAAAAAAAAAACAAGAATAAAAACAAATCACACCTGGAGCACATCTGGAGCCCCGCCACCCATAGAACACCGCCATACTGGGACGCCTGGATCACATCTGGAACACACATCTGGAGCCGCCCC